GTGTGTATGTATGTATGGATGCCGTGACAATATTTCGCGAGGCACAGGGGGTTGCGAATCACGGTTTATTTTTACCGCCAGAAATATATTCGTTAAACTAACTTAGCCGTACCGGAAACGAATGGTGGCAAATATACTTGTTATATTTTTTGCATGATTAATCTCGGACATTTATCTATGGAATTAAATTTATTGTCACATGTAATAAATAATTCTGCTTTTTAAATCATCACAAGTAACAGTATCCAAAGATAGCTAACGACTCGTATTGACAAAAGATGTCGGTAATATTTAAATATTTAAGTAAGTTTGCAATTGCATTGATTATATCTGCTTGAGCAATCTGGGATTTTTTAACTACAATTAAATCCATTGTAAGTGTAAGAAAGGATATCTCTCTATATTTATGAGAATATTATATTTATTTATACTTTTTGCATTGTTTGGACTGTTGTCCTATTCCTTGTTGTCATATTCACTATGTTTCGGCCATTGTAATCTCCGGCTTTGAAATTCCGATCTACTGAAAAAGTTCGAAACGTCGTGAATATGCCAACAAAGATGAGAACAACAGTCCAAACAATATAAAGAGTGTAAGTAAGAAAGGATATTTATATTTAAAGAAATTTAATATAGTTCAAAAACTGACGGCGAAATCTAAGTAATACGAGACTATCCGTGACCTCTCGGGTCACTGAAGGTTCAGGTCATAAAACACTCAAGTTGATTTCAACGTTCCATTGAAATAAAATTTAATTTTATTATGATTCAATTGAATGTTTCAATTCGTTCGTGTCATAATTGGTCTGGTTTACAAATTCATGTTTAACGTTTTACTGATTGTTTACAACATTTAATAGGAATAGAATTTCCGGCATAAACTTGAAATTTAAATCAGATTAACTTAAAAATATTATTTAATATGCCAAAACATATTTTAAAATCATATTTACTTTAAAATAATTTTTAAATATACCAAAAGAAGTGGGATCTCTTTGTGTCTGTCTTTAGCTTAAACATATTTTAATTAAACATATTTTAATTAAACATATTTTAATTAAAATATGAATTATGAACATTATGAAATTTATGAAATATGAAATTATGAAAGTATGAAATTATGAAATATGAATAAAATTAAAATTAAATTAAAATTAATATTTAATTTAAACATATTTTAATTAAACATATTTTAATTAAAATATGAATTATGAACATTATGAAATTTATGAAATATGAAATTATGAAAGTATGAAATTATGAAATATGAATAAAATTAAAATTAAATTAAAATTAATATTTAATTTAAACATATTTTAATTAAATTTATTTTAATTAAAATATGAATTATAAACATTATGAAATTTATGAAATATGAAATTATGAAAGTATGAAATTATGAAATATGAATAAAATTAAAATTAAATTTTAATTAATATTTAATTTAAGCATATTTTAATTAAACATATTTTAATAAAAAAAATGTTTGTTTGAAGAAAGTTAAAATAAAAAAAAAATACTTACTGTATAACCAACTCGTATTTTTAAATCTTATTCACTTAAATCAGATTAACTTAGATCAGATTAACTTAAATCAGATTAACTTAGATTATTATGCGCCGGACGGACGCACCACACAAGCCGCAAGCAGATACACAAACACAAACTTTTAGTATTATATAGGTAGATAGATTGAATTAATAGAGTTATTTTTAATTCGACATTTTTATTGCTTGAAATGTTAATAAATCTAACATCCCATCTTTATTTGCTACTAGAGTACCCGTGACTCGTAGGATCATTGAAATTGATTTCAACAATCCATTGAAATGAAACTTAATTTTATTATGAATCAGTTAAATATTTCAGTTTATTCGTGTCATCATTAGTCTGGTTTACAAGTTCAGGTTTAACGTTTTACTGATTGTTTACACCATTTAATAGGAGGAGGACTTCCGGAATTGGTTTGGTTTGGTTTGTTTTACGGCATATCAACCTTAATGGGTCATTTAATGCCGACAACTTTTTTCCTGGTAATATTTTTGTTTTGTCAAAAATCTATTTCTGGTAATATTTTTTTCCTCAAAAATGTATAGCTGCTAATATTATTTTTAAAAAAAATGTGCTGCTGGTAATATTTTTTTTTTCAAAAACGTATTGCTTCTAATATTTTTTTTTCTTCAAAAAATTTATTTCTGGTAATAATTTTTAAAAAAGTAATTCTGGTATTAAAACCTATTTTTACTCTTTCATAATGCTTTTTAACTCAGTTTCGGGGTTAACTATTTTCCCATAGCTGGGACCCTAACAGGTGCTACCACCCCGACTCAGAGTGGACATGAGAACACCAGCATTGAAGAAGTGGTTCCACGCTCCTCAAAACCAATAAGTTTGATCTCGGCACCTCGATTCTACTTTCTACCTCGATCAGAGGCCTTGCTGTTAGACGTAGTTTATCATCTTACCCTGGACGCGGATGTAGTTTATCTTCATATCCAAGACGGCCCGGAATAAAAACTTTAAATCAGATTAACTTAAAAATATTTTTAATATGCCAAAAAATAGTTTAAAATCATATTCACCTTAAAATGTTTTTTTAAATATACCAAAAAAAGAAGGATCACTTTTTGTCTGTCTTCAACTTAAAATATTTTAATTAAAACATTGCCTGTTTGAAGAAATTAAAATTAAAAATACTTAATGTATAAAAAACTCGTATTTTTAAATCTTATTCACTTAAATCAGATTTAAAAAAATGTTTAAATAGAAAAAAATAAAATAAAAGAAACAGTTATTGTTCAGTAACTAAAAAATGTTATCAAATATTGATTGTCTGCCTTAAATCTCTTTAAACATGTGACTTCTCGTCTGATTCTAATTTGGCAACAAATATAAAATATGAAATATTGAACAAGGGTGTGGTAGATAGGAAATCATATCTAATCGAATATAAAACAATGGAAGTTGATTTCCTTGGGCTGTCCTTTCCCGCCAGTAATTTTTTCTTCCCCCCCCCTCCTGCAAAAGATGGAATGGAAAATAGAAATAGATGGAAATAAAGAATTTCTGACATTTCTTACCTCAGAACCAACCATAAATAACAAAAGACAAATGGTTTCTTTTTTTCGCCGACAGGTGCGTGACGGTTTTGAAACAGTACGTGCCAAGTGAGGACATATGTCAACCCTACCTAAGAAAAAAAAAGTACGGCTTCCCGAGGCACAACTTTCAATACGCGACAAACACACGCGCGTGCGCGCGCGCACGCACTCACACACACGCACAGTGACTTCTGTGTACATATCTGAAAAGCGTCCGTCTAAAAAATATATCATAAATATAGAAAAACACATACACATGTACAGAAGCGGAGACAATTTTATGTAACTATATAAAAACATCCGCATCAAAAGAGCCCTATATAAACAGAAAATTAAAAAAATACAAACGCACACCCACGTAAATGCGTACATATGCATATGTGTGTGTGTGTATATATATATATATATATATATATATTATGAAATGGACAAAGTTCGACAATTATTTTAAGACATTTTTACGTTTATACATTCTTTTTATAGACACAGTTGTTTAAGTAAATGGTCTGTTTATAATAAACAGTATTAAACAACATTTACCTGCCTGTCGGTGGACGAATATTTTCTATGAAAATTTCTCGGATATTCACATACATAAAACAGACTGTTGTATTTTAGACTGTTCTAATCCCTGTCTGTCTGACTGTCTCTGTCTACTCGTCTGTCTCTCTCGCTCACTCTCTCTCTATGTATGTAGTGATTTATCCGGTGTAATTTAGATGTGGCACAAGGCCGAAAGTATGGAGCACACAGTAACGACTGAACTCACTACTCAGTCGAAATTGATCTAGCGTGACAAGTTTGGTAATCATTACAAGACGTCAAAGAGACACTCAACCTACTCCTCTGAAACCCATTTTCTCTCTCTCACCCACCTCCCTCTCTCTCTCTCTCTCTCTCTATATATATATATATATATATTAGGTTGGTGCAAAAATAATGACGTAAGAATGTCGTTTTTTGACGTTAAAAAATACGTCAAAAAACGACATTATTACGTCATTATTTTTGCACCAACATAATATGTATAAATGTATATCATAGACTGTTCATAGGTATCTTAGTCTGTTCATATACATTTTATGTCATATGATATGATATATCTATCTATCTATCTATCTATCTATCTATGTATCTATCTATCTATCACTGTAAAACAATGGTTTCGTACATGTTGTATACAAGTCTATAGATATAAATCTGCAGTTTTATGCATTTGATAGTTATAATATCTATCTATCTATCTCTCTCTATATATGTACAGTGATTTATTGAGCGTAGCTTAGATGGGGCCCAAGGCCGAATGTATGGAGAAGGTGAAGATTGAACTCACTACACAGCCGTAATTGAGCCTGTAAGTAAAGCTTGCTAACCATTATACTGGCGAAGCTTTAATGAAAATTAAACACGTTATGACTTTCCTGTTTGTTCCTTTTTTATATATATATATATATATATATGCATTCACGTTGGCATTGCATGAAACAGTGAGTAGTGGTTTTGGTATTATTATTATATTACATAGGTGTATATATATATATATATATATATATATATATATATAATAAATAAATAAAACCGTTGAAAGAAATTAATAATAATCAACTCAAATAACTTGAAAATGGCTAAAGCATTGTCCAAAAGCGTTTAGGACAATGAACACTACGGACAGTTTTCCTTGTCAGTCTTATTCGAAAGAAAGGTTTTAAAAGAACGCTTCCTGCCTAAATATGCATCATCCATCTATCTATCTATCTATCTATCTATCTATCTATCTATCTATCTATATTTATTATTTTGAAGAATTAGAATTGTTATTCAGAACAGATATATAGGAATATATTTTACTTGATGGAATACAAATTTGGCAAATGAATATGTTGAAGAAAAAAAAAGAACTCAAGAGATAAAGCGATAAGTGTGTGAAATATGAAGGAATAGAAAAAGTAACTTTAAAACGATGAGTAGAAGGAGTAGAAGAAAAAAGAATAATATAAAGAAAGTGAAGAAAAAATAGAGAAAGAAATAGGACAAGTGTTGAGTGAGAATGAGGAATATGAGAAGAAGAAGAAGAAAAAGAAGAAGAAGAAGAAGAAGAAGAAAATCATAATGATGATAATGGTAATCTAAAAGAACGAAGAAAAGGATGGGAAAAGAAAGGAGCAAAAGAGATGCGGAGGTGAGGGAAGGCGAATGAAGAAAACATATATAAATAAAAAAGAAGAAATGGAAGCGGACGAAAAGAGGAGGACGAAAAGTAAAAGAGAAAGAAGAGAAATAAGAAAAGGGAGGGAGGGTGGGGAAGAGAGGCCGAAATTGGAGAACGGTTTGGAAAGAATGAAGAAAAAGCGAACAGGCACATTGGCACTTAGTTTTCCGGAAGTGCGTGCCAACTTCACGTTGGGGATGACTGCTTCCCAGGCTTCGTTCGTCACGTGACCACTTACGTCATTGTGTCTTGCACGCAAACTAGGCTCTGGCAAGTCGGCTCGTTGGCCATTTTTCGGGATGTTGTTGCGTGTTGAGAAAGCCGAAAGCGGGAGAGCGTGACCATATCTATAGATATGGCGACGTCTCTTGGAATGGTAAGCAAGAGTAGAAAGCAAAAGATTGGAATTTTACTGGACATTTCTTATGACTATTTCGGTTCTTGTATATTGGCCCCCAAAATAAAGCTACGTTGTGCTCACGTTTGTGGGTTGACGGGAACACAACAGAAAGACATGAGCAACCAAAAATAGTGTAAGCGGAAATTAGTACAGTTGGTAGCGGTTTGGATGAGGAGAGTAATGAAATCATTGATACGAGTTCAAATTCTGGCATCAGAATCAAACGTTATTTTTTTTTATAATAATTCATGTAGAAAAAGACAGTTTATTCATGTAAGGTAAATGAAGAATGTTTTGATTAAACTGCTTAACTTAATCTGCAATGTCCGTCTAATTTAACGGTCATCAACACGGAAAGTAGAATCGAGGTGCCGAGATCAAACTTATTGACTTTCACACTAATGTCTTTTGGGAAAGGTAAGGATCTATTTCTTCTTACCTGAGTATGAGTTAAATATGATGCTTTACCCTTTGAGTTGCAGTCAGTCGAGGAGAAAGGCTACTCATAATTCCAAACCTTAGAGAAGGCAACGGGAAACTATTTTCCCTAAATTTTCGAAGAAGTCAAAACAATAACGAAAAAGGAATCCGTCTCCGTCCTCAAGCATTAAATGAACTTAGTCTGGTGCAGGATCATAAGTGTAGATCACCAACTTCATATCAAACGTATTGGTATAATACGGATGGTATACTGGAAAATGGCTGTAGAATAGATCGGCTGAGACGATTGTAATAACTACTATATATCTAGAGATACTTGATAAAATACAAAAAAGAATCTGCAATGTTATTGGCCCTGACCTAATATCTCGTTTTCAGTTACATTCTCCACCCCCGTAACGTGTGTCTTTTTATAAATGTTTTAATGGTAATTGTTCTGGTGAACTTTCCTCTTTGGTAGCTAGACTTTATGAATTTAAGCGCGGTACTATATTGGCGGTTAGGTCTCATCATTTTACAGTTCAAATGGCAACCGTATGTTCTCTGGTGATTGCTTATTTTCTCGTACTTCTTGTTTGTGGAATTCTATTCCAACTTCTTGCCAGAGTTATCTGTGGTAAGCATTTTTCTGTACCTATTCCGGGGCTGACTTGAAAAAGTCGAAAGCTTGCACCATATTTAATCCGAATTGAACTTTGGACAATCTCTGACGGAATTTCTTCCTTGGTGTTATACTGGAACACACCTATTCTATAGTTAATAGACTCTCCCACCTATAATAAGTAGGAGCAGTAGCAGTCGGCAGTGAGTTGGTCAGTCAGTCGACAGTCAGTTGAACACTCTGCCTTCGGGCGGGGAGGAACCCGAAAGAGGCTACGCCGAAGGGCGGATTCTCTTTCGGGGAGGTAAACCGGCCCTGAACCCGTTTATACGGGTTCAATGGGCATATTTTTGGCCGAGCCCACGGGCTCGGAGATCCCACGGGCTCGGAGATCCCACGTTAAACCGGCCTTGTGCCATATGATGCCCTCGTGGGGGGTGACTAAATATCGTTGGTCAGTCAGTCGATGCCGGACGACCGTTAGTCGGATATTAAAGTATCAGCCACCACAACTAGATTACTGCGTCATTACCTATTATATCAAGTTCCTAACGTTTTGTACGTCGAACCTAATTTAGGAACGACTTAGTACAAATACAAGCCTCCACTGCGAAACCACTACATAACACTTGGTTGAGAACGATTATACGGGATTGAGAAACGTTGACCAATATAATTAATATGCACAAAATGTCCGATGTCTTTAATAAAATTTGCCTTAGAGAAATAGATACACACACGCACATATATATATATATGTATGAATGAAGTATTGCGCTCTCTGTAGTCGTGTGGTAAAATCGATCAGAAAAAATAGTGATTTCTCCTACAAATGATGATAGAGAGAACACTTTCTTTATTAATATTTCTTGAATGAGTAAGCGTATAGACGTTATACATACTTAAAAAAAAAATTATGGGGGATCTATTACAAATACGTGTATCCAATATACTATTAATATATATCGTCGTCGTGGACTTTCCCGTCGTTGATCGATGCGAGCTGTTGACCCACACCTACCGGGGACCCTCTAACGATGTATGAGGGTCAGGCCACTCAGTTCCTAGCAACCGACAGCCAGACAACCTGCGCATATGATTATAGTGGTGAAAGTTTCGTGCAACCAAACACAATATATATATATATATATATATATATATATATATATATATATATATATACGTTTAAAGTGCGTTTCATGGCTTTCCCATTAATATTATTCTTTACTATTAATAATTTAGTTCATTTTCAAAATCTACCTACCAACACTATATTTTAAATTTATACCCCAATACTATATTATAACTAGCAGCATGGCCCGGCGTTGCCTGCGCTTGATTCAAAAATCGTACGACTCATACAGCAATTAATCACTTAACTTAAAATATTTTTGCCCTTCCTTGCCTTTAAAGGAGTGCCCTTTTCCGTGCTGATGTTGCTACATGCCTTACTTCCTGCCTATCTCACACTGCGAATTTTTTTCTAATCTCTATACTAAACATTAAATCTGTTACGAAAAAAGAACTAAACAAAATGAACACAAAACGCTGATAGCTTTAAAAAAAGGACTCGTAACAGGAAAAACCGAATGAAAAAAGAATGTTAACAACAAATAATTTTTCACAGCCAACCCAGTTCTGCGGAATCAGAATCAACGTTGAGTTTAAGCAAGCGAATGAGCCAATTGGAGTAAAGTGCCATGCAGATTTAAATTTTTCCCACTTGTGACGAATGCGGCTATAGATTTTTTTTGCATGCTAGTTAAAATTCGTGTCAGTCAGCTGTTGGCTCTCACACTGGCCAATAGAATCTTCCTGCCTATTCATGGCAGCCAGCTATTGACTCTCACTCTGGCTAGTACAAAATGGCCGCAAACTACATGAAAACTGCCGTAGAAGCATGAAAAAATCGATTATTTCCACTATCGATGGGAGTTGGGAAATGCAAAGTCGGTCTTGGCCTTCCCGCTAACTTGGAGCATGTGCATGTAAACTTTGGTGCATATCCGTCAAAAATTGTGGCCGTTCATTCATTACACACGCACGCACACTCACACACACACACACACACACACACACACACACACACACACACACACACACACACACACACACACACCCTGCCTTTTATAGATAGAGATTAATAATAATCTGAATTCTGAATCCATACACATTCATTTGGAGATTAAATTTTAATTCTAGCATGCACAAAGAATTTACCAGTTAGATAAATTTACGGAAATAAACTTTGGTTCTGCATTAAAGAAGAAAGGACTGCGAGTCAAATGGCCTAACCTGAATTTTTCATAAAGTACATACTTTGGTACGTGAATCCTAGCCGTTTATATATATATATATATATATATATATATATATATATATATATATGGAGTTTCTGACCCCAAAATAGTGCAATTTCAGGGAAAATCAGACATATTCCCGACAAATTCTGATGATTTTTTTCCAATCAGAATTCAATTATATGGTATTCAAAGTTAAAAAATGATACTAGCTGTATTTTCTCAGCTGACCATAACAGATTTTAACCCATTCACTTATCAGAGTGATGTAGCATTTTATTCAGATTTCCGTAAATTTAAAATAATATAAAATTAGTTCTAGATATGCTAAAGACTTAATTAATTTATTTTTTCTTTTAGAATTTAAATGTAGATTCAATTTATAAAGAAAATTTATATAGAAATAACATGATTTTTTGCCAATTTTTCACCTCTCGCCTACATCCTTAAGGAACACGGCACATAGAAAGTAATAATAATAACAATCATTATTATTATTATTAATATTTAACAGCCCCCCCCACAAGGGATGTATGTGGCACAAGGCCGAGTTTACTGTGGGTTCTCTGAGCCCGTAGGCTCGGCCAAAAATTTTCCCTTAGAACCCGCATAAACGGGTTCAGGGACTGTCTATCTCCCCGGACGAAACTTTGCCCTTCCGCAAAGTCTCGTCCGGGTTCCTCTCTGCTCGAGGCAGAGAGTTCGACAGTTCAACAGGATATGGCACTGCTCAATTATTATTATTATTATTATTATTATTATTCTGTTGAGTGAGTTTTCATATCATTCTGACTGTTTTTGTAATGATCTCACTCTTGACAACCGCCGATATTTTTTTTAATTCGTTTTTTTTTTGTCTTCTTCTTTTAACGGCATCTTTTTTTCATCATAATTTGTTCCGTTACTGTCCGATTCTGTTATTTCCCTCGTCACCTCTACTCACACCCGATCACCTCAAAACTCCCGCCTCTCGACGGTTTTCCAACTCTCACCGCACCACCAATATAAACAGTCAAATATCAACTGAACTATCATTGCCATCTTAATTTACCTCTTGGCACAAGACAGATGGAAACCGAGTTAGAAATATTAAAAAAGAAGACACCTATTCGGGAAGGAGATAATAATATCTACAGGAAAAGTCACTGATGCGCAGTGAACAACTGACGTGTTATGGTTAACGAGCAGAAAAGTAAGGATTGGAATTCGAAGAAACTTTGAATACGCTCTTATACATTCAGTCAGTTATGTGCCATGCGTGATACACGCTTAGGCGATCATATATCTTTCGATACATGACTGACAAGGCAGATTTTTTTTTCCATCCAAGGCTATAGAACCCGGTCTGCCCTGCTATTTACCCATAGTTGGGCGGAGGAGAAGAGGATTTATACCTTTCCCAAGAGTATTAGCATGCCAGTCAGTCAGTTATGAGCCATGCGTGATACATGCTTAGGCGATCATGTATCTTTCGATACATGACTGACGGGGCAGATTTTTTTTCCGTAGTAGGTTGCCATTTCTTTCTGAGGTAGATCAGTGGCCATCCAAAGCTATAGAACCCGGTCTGCTCTGCTATTTACCCATAGCTTTAGAAAAAAGAGAATTCATACCTTTCTCAGGGGTATTAGCATGTCAGTCAGTCAATTACCTCCCATGCATGATACACGCTTAGGCGATCATGTATCTTTCGATACATCACTGATGAGACAGATTTTTTTTTCCGTAGTAGGTTGCCATTTCTTTCTGCAGTAGACCAGTTGCCACCCATAGCTATAGAACCCGGTCTGTGCTGCTATTTACCCATAGCTGGAGGGAGAAGAAGAGGATTCATACCTTTCCCAAAGATATTAGCATGTCAGTCAGTCAGTTATGTGCCATGAATGATACACGCTGAGGCAATCATATATCTTTCGATACATGACTGACGAGGCAGATTTTTCCCCGTAGTAGATTGCCATTTCTTTCCGCGGTGGACCATTTGCCATCCAAGGTTATAAAATCCTGTCTGTCATACTATTTACCCATAGCTGGGGGAAAAGAGGAAGATTCATACCTTTCCCTAGGGTATTAGCACGTAAGTGAATGTAATGGATTCGACAGGAATTCGAACTCGGCTCTCCGATTCCACACTCCGAGCCTTATACATTTGTATGGACCATTCAGACATTACGTATACAGTTCCCAATGGTTTTCGCATCAGTCCATTCTCTCTGGTTTCTTTCAATTTTGGAATTCATATCTGGGCTTGTGTTGCCCAATCCTTAATTTTCAGTTCAAAAGCTTCTACGCGGCCTTGTGGGTGATGAATAATCTTCCACCCTACAACCCCCTTCTCACAGATGAAATATCGCATGCCTGTCGTTATTTTATTTTCATGGAAAATGTTCAGAAGAACTACATTCTTTAGTTCCACAAGTTCAGACCTTTACAGCTAAACCCCACTTCGTCGCGTCAAAAGGCGCGAATCATCCGCATTCTTTCGTATTTCATTGGCAAGAGGAAACTTCCATTCGATCAGCTTATTCCCAAGTGCCTCTATTTTGTGTAACAGACTCCCGAGAGGATGCTTCCCCGATCACTACCATCTTAACCGCTTTCAAGTCTAGGTTAATCGTTATCTTTCTTACATACCGTCAGCGTTAAAAGAGATGGGGTCATTTTAGTGGATGTGAGGATATTGCAATGATTGGTGGCTCGGAATGAGAAACTGGCGAGCCGAGTTCAAACTCCGGTCGAGTTCGTTACGTTCACTTTCGCACCAGGAAAAGATATGAATCCATTCTCCTCTCCAGATATGGGTTAAATAATAGGACAGAATTAGTTCTCTAACATTAGTTGGCATCTAATCTAGGAAAAAGAAAACTCTGAATTCAAAACAGGTTGGATGTAAGGCTGGCAAATCCACTCCGTAAAAACGTACTTGCTAGGGAAACCGCTGCGCCACTATCACATTGTGAGGTGCCCAGCCCTGGGGACCAGATACCGGAAGCTTCACCTCCTCGTTGCACTAGAGAGAAGGATCAGTGCTCGCACTGAGGCCTTCGTAACCGACGGTTGCGGGGTTCGGGTAATTTTGTCCTTAGCCCTCGGGTTCCCCACATTAAACCGATCCTTTGTCACAACCTGGTTCTGTTTCAAGTAAATACCCACCTGCTGTAGTGACGGTGTGGTCCCGCGCATTTTGATTATTTTTAAAATTATTTTTTCACCCAATATAAGCCCCAAGAACCACTCAAGTTCAAGAGTTAACCAAGCAGGTTAATTTAAGAGCATAAGAGGCGGAGGTAAGGTGCGCATTTTATGTGGATATGAAACAAAGTTATCGATTATAAACTGCATTCCTTGCTTAAGTTCATGGCGAGTTCTATGACAATGAAATATCCGTAGAAATTTCCATCGCATCGTTAAATATTTGAGTTTAACAACTTTAACAAAATATTGCAATAACAATCATAAATATTTGGAATTGACAGCTTTTTTTCTATTTCACTGAAGCAGACGTTAAAACCTTGTATCTTCACTTCTTCCATTCTTTCTTTTTCTCGCTGAGACCAAGTAGTGCTTTTTTCCCTCTCCCCCAGAGGTAAAAACGGAAACATTCATTATTTATGAGATATTGGCAGGACGTAACGGTCAGGCAAACTAACGAAGGCGGGACAGGCATAATTATAAGAGGATATTTCAGTAGCGCGCGTTTTATTTAATTTTTTTTGTTTTGCTAACTTCCTTTTGATATCTCTCTATATTTCTGAGATGTGGTATTATGTACATTATTTACATTATTCGGACTATTGTCCTCATCTTTGTCGCCATATTTATCACAACGTTTCGTTTCAATTCGAAATTCCAACCACCTAAAGAAAGCCGGAGCGTACAACGGCCGAAATGTTGTGATAAATATGGCGACAAAGATGAGGACAATAGTCCGAATAATGTAAATAATGTCCTTTTGATATAAATTACAAACACCTCTCTACACAAGCATACAGTGAACTGCATCAGCAGTAGTATCAGGCCTATTGGCTTACGGCCACATCGCTTTGAAAAATCGGTTACCGACCAGCGAAGTTAAGCAACGTCGATCCTTGTCAGTACCTAGATGGTTGACCGCCTGGAAATGCCAGGTGCGGTAAGTTTGGATGTGCAGGTGGTGCAATGTATAATGGCTCATATTTTTTAATTAAAGAGCCGAGTTCGAATTCTAATTGGGTTCGTTATATTCACTTACGTGGAATTACCCTTGAGAAAGGTATGAATTCACCTATTCTCTTCCCAGCTATGGCATTTATGACTGAACTATTAATAACCCCTCACCCCCCCCAAAAAAAAATTCTTACAATCTAAAATCAATATCATTAAGAGGAGTGTCCCTAGAACAGGATTTACCTTCTCTAACAATGAAAATAATTGTAGTTTGCTGTGGAGAGTCAGGATCGCCAACGTCGTGAAAGAACACCGACTCACAGTCGAAGAATTTTTGCAGCATAAACCATTCATTAAACCTACATCCAACGTTGCATATTATTTCACCTACACATTGATCAAGAAAATATATTTAATTATAATTTTTATTTACTATAATCACTTTTAATTTCGACTTTTTTCCTATCTGGGGACCAGTTACTAATTGCGCTCACCGAAGTTAAGAGCCGCTCCCCAAGTGGAAACAGGCTTGCGGTCATATAGCGTTGAAACACCTGTTCCTGTACGATCAGCGAAGTTAAGCAACTTCGAGCCTGATCAGTACCTAGATAGTTGACCTCTTGGGAATATCACAAAATGTAAGCTCGGACTTACGGGTGGTGTAATTGATAACGGCTCGGAATTATTAATCAGAGAGCCGATTTTAAAATTCAATTAGGTTTGGGATCCACACGCAAATACACTTGGGAAAGCTATGAATCCATCTCTTCTCTCCCTAACTATGGATTAATTAGTAATACTTGTATTGCTAAATCATTATTATTTCCAAAAATATTCTTACAATCTAAAAAATATTTCTTGCTTTAAATAACCTATAAAGTGTTGATAAGCTGTAAAAAATGAATTAATGAAAACCAAATGAAAATATGGTGAGAAATAACTGAGCAATGCTAAATAAGAACAAAACGAGCCCCCGTCAAGCTATGGAAAGTGGAACGAGAACAATCTACCACCATAGATTCAATAAAGTGTTTTGTTCGAAGATTCCTGAAGTTTACCCGGATCTACAATCCCCTGAAGAAGGGGTGAGCGTATGGCAACCTAAACTTTGTGATAATAACAACAAAGATGAGGATAATAATCCGAATGTAAATATTGACGCCGGGCAATAGCATACACTGCTAGTTTAATGCGTATGAAATAACATCAAAATGCTCATGATTAATTGTCATAAATTATTTTTGTACTTCGACGAACAACACTAAACTACATCCGGCAGCAAGGCCTCTACATGGGAGATTGGAGGTTTCTTAATTGTTGTTTTTCTCAGGCTCTCCTTGGTCCAGGGTGGTAGAACCTGTTAGGGTCCTAGCTATGGGCAAATACTGAACTCTAAAACAAAGACAAAACACTATGACGGTATAAAAATACATTTTTATAATAAAGATACCGCCAATACTTTTATATATAGTAAAATTACCAACAATACATTTGATAATAGAATCACCAACAATACATTTTATCTGTAATTGAACATATAAAATTGTGTTCAAAATATTTAGATTTTGGCATTACATAACTCACAGAGATTGATATGCCGTTAAACAAAAGCCAAAATTAACGTTTTGCTTGTTTGCTTATTTTATGGCATATCAACCTCAGTGGGTCATTTAATGCCAACACAATTTTTGAAATAGATACATAGCGATAGTTTCGTAAAAAAAGGTGTATATGTATACATATATATTTGAACCATTTTTCCGTTACTCCTATTTTTGAGTACAATCACATGTATTGCTGGT